AAAAAAAAATTTAAAAAAAAAAAAGAAAGGAAATGACGTATAAAATGACATGTTGACAATATTTGTATGTAGATGTTGTCAACCTATCAGCAGCAGCACGACATTTTGCATATAGGCGTTACCAATTTTATAATGAATAATCATTTTGCTTTTACCTTTATTGTTTTCATTGACAGGCATATATTCAAGATTAATTGTCATAGCACACCTACCCATATCGAATATTGATAATATTATCAGTGAATTAATTGATCAATGATAAAAAAGTTTAAAAAATTATTACTTTCTATTTTAGCATTCCTAATATTACTAATATATTATTAATTATCATTTCGTTTTCTTTTTTCATACTTAATAAGCTACTATAAATTGTTTCCTTAAAAAGTAAAATTCAATCACTTTAAAAAAAAAAAATTTTTTTTCTTCTTTCATTTTTTTTTACACTTTTCAAAATTTTAACAAAAATTTTACTTTTAGAAATTATTTTGAAAATCAGGGAGAGAGATAGAGAGAGAGAGAAAGAGAAAAAAAGATAAAACAGAAGGAAAAAAAAATGAATTATCTTTTAGAAGAAAATTTTCAAAAAACTTCTAATAAATATTTGTTAGAGGCGTTACTTTTAAGGATACATTAATTTCATTTTGAAGCAGCAAAACAATAATACCCATTTAGTCGATAAAAAAAAAAAAAAAGAAAGAAGCTATAAGAAATTAATGAAAAATAGGAAGAAAATATGGTAATCATTTTAATCGATTCAATCAGAAATGAATAATGGTTGATAGGTATATAATTAAATTTATTTTATAAGCAAAATGTTATCAATCATTTAAGGAAAAATGAATATATTTTATTACTGTAATTTAATTATTTATCTAATATTATATGGATTATATTCATTAATGCAATATTGCTGCATGAAATCTTAAAATTATGCGACATTTATAATAGCATTTAAATTAAAAAAGAAAAACTAAAAGAAATTATTAAAATATTAATCGTTTGTTATCTTTGTTACTACATTTTATTATTGCAACTTAATTAATTATCCAAAATATTATCATTAAATATTTATTAATGCAATACTGTTGCATGAAATTAATAACTTAATAAGCATATAGTAATCAATAAATGCATTTCTTATTATTATTTTTTTTTTTTTTTTGCTTTCACTTACTTATAGGCCCTATTAACTGAGTTTATTGTCTATTTTTATTGAAAAGATTAAAATAAATTCAATGTTTTTCTCCTACTTTTCTTCTTCTTCTAATTTCTTTCTGAAAGGAAAAAAAAAAAAAACGAATTTGAATTTTTTTTTTTTTATCGACTAAATGGGTATTATTGTTTTGCTGCTTCAAAATGAAATTAATGTATTCTTAAAAATAGCTCCTCTAACAAAAATATTCATTAAAAGTAGTAAATTTTTCCCAAAAGACAATTCTTTCCTTTTTTTTTTCTCTCTCTCTCTCTCAATCTTAGAATAATTTGCAAAGCTGAGAATTTTGCTATATAAAAGAGTGAAAATTTTTGAAACCATTGAATTTGTTTACTTTTGAAAAATCAGTCTATAACTTATTAAGCCAGAATAATGATGCTAGAAAAAAAAAAACTGAAATGAATTTCTAAACTTTTATACCATTCTTAGATTATTATTTTATTCAATTAATATTTCAATTTTCTCCCATACAAACTTAATTATTTCAATATAAATTTGAAATATTATATTGAATATGTGAATAAATTATAAAAAATTAAAAAAGAAAACAAAAGTTCCATTAGTTTAACATATTTGATAAGAAGTAATGAAGTCAAAAAATGACCTAATACCGAAAAAAAATTAATAAATTTTTAATTAAAATTATTGTGTATTAAAAATGAATCAAAATGTTTTCATAATTTCATCAATTTGTTAATGAAATTATGAAAATTTGTAAGTATTAGAAAAATTTCTGCTAACTTTAAACATAAATTATAAAATATAAGTTATGGAAATAAAAGATTTTGCAAAGATCAATCAAAGAAATCGATCGGAAATCGATTAGTGAAATGAACTGATAAACTAAATGTATTTATTTGTTGTTTTTTTTTTTTTTTTTTCTCTCAAAAAGTTATAATTTGTGTTAACAAAAATTATTTTATTATTATTTATTAAAATTTATTTAATCATTTAGCATAAAATTTCTTTGATTCTATGCAATGAAACATATAACTATTTAATATATTTTAAATAAATATATAAACGTAAAATAATTTTATAAAAAATATTAAATGTTATACTATTGCGTAACAAGTTGTATAAAATACTTAAAACATAGTAAGTAATAAGTAATGAAATTTATTATGATAAGTTAAATTAATTAATTAATTTATTTTGTGGAATTTGTTTATTTTAGCATAGCTGACGCGATGCTTAATTTTGAAGCTCAAAATTTTTTCTATTTAAAATAGTAAAAACAAAAACAAAAATTATGTTAGTAAATGTTCAATTAAAATTTATTATTTATATTTCAAATAATAATATGTGTATATATGCTCTTTAAAATATACACATCTTTGACTTTTTAATTTACTAAAAATTTTTTTTTTCGTCCTAATCTTAAAGCTTTAAAAAAAAATTTAATATTAATTGAAATGAATATAATCACCAAATTGTTGACATTTGTTTACACTAGGAAATGAACATTCATTTTATACTTAACAAAAACAATACTTATCAGCATGAACCATACATTTTTAATTTCATTAAATTTTCTAATCTAATTTTTTTTTTTTTTTTTTGTAAACAATCCATCAAAGTTGTAGAAATGAGTTATTTCGATGTTAAATAACAAACAATAATAGTAATAAGAAATGATTAAATTTAGCAAAACTTTTAATATAGTTTAATTTCAAAATGTGAAATAAACAGTAATCACTAATAATCAAAAGAATTTACTTTGTTAACTTAAAAAAAAAAAAAAAAGAAAAAAAATTGAGAATTGGGAAATGTTACACTTATTTTAAGCATTCTATTTGAACTTTTATGAAAGTTTTTATTCTATTAATATTACAAATTTACAAAATGTTTTTTTTTTTTTTTTACTAAACGTAATGTATTTTAGAGTTGTAAATTAACTGAAACATAAATTATAGAAATGCATTCAGTTTAATGAGAAACTTATTATTTCGTATTAAATTTTACTAATATTTTTTTTTTACTAATAATAGCATAGTTTATGTGATGAAAAGTAGCCGCCAATTAATTAGTAAATAATTTGCTACTTCTTAAGATAAAATATTTTTGGATAATATATTATTGCTAAAAATTTGACATGAATGGAACAAATATCATTTTAAGGTTAAATGTTTAGTTGAAATGAAAAAGATTTACTGATCAATCGATTAGTTAATCAATCCTATAATTGATTAATGAAGATTGTTATGTGATAGAATATTATTAATTTCATTTTTATTATCTAGTAAAATTCATAATGGTAGTTTGTTTATTTCCCTAATTCGTGTTTAGTATGAAATAAAAATCACTGAATAATTTACTAGAAGTAAATGGAAATGATTTATTGTAATTAGAAGTACTGAGAAAAAACTTATTGATAAAAGAATAAAAGTAACTTAGGTCATTCTTTCTATTCTACCTGCTCATATAAGTTAAAGTATTATTGTAGGAAAATCAATTCTTCTAGCAATAATCAACGAACAAATTATTCAACGTAATGGAATTGAACATTATTATCTTTCAGATGGTAATTTGACCTTTCTTAATCAGTGAACGTGACCTTTACGTTTTATGTTTTGGTAAGAAATTATGAAAAATGAAAATTCATAAATTCATATATCAATGCACAACTCTACTTTTTCCCTAACATTCAAGATTTTGCAATATTTACTGGTATCTAAGTATGGTAGAAGTGATGAGTAATTGATAATTAAGGGATTAAAGTTAAATGACATATGTCACTACCTATGTAACTACTAGCCATTTAAAATTTTTGATACATATTTGGAATGTTACATATATTTGCATTAAAAGTTTTCCTTCAAGTTTAAAATTAATCTCTCATAAAAATTTCATATTTGATAAATGAAGCATATGCAACTAGTGAGTGTGTTTAAATGCTGTAAAGTTATAGCAGGACGTAAATGCTGTTATATATTTCATATAAAAATGATTTCTGACTAATAGCAAAATGCTTCAGAGTTAGAAGTAACGAAGTTATACTTTAATATCATCAAAGGAAAAGTAAAATTGACTAAAATTATGAGAATCAATCGATCGAGTTACCTTTAATAATGATTTTATAGAATTCTCAATTTTCACTTGCATCCTATTTAGATTTTTATTCTTTCAGAATTTTTTCTCTTCTTATCCATTTCTCATTTTATTATCTTCTCATTTCCATTTCCTCATATCATATGCTAAATGTTGTTTCAGCTTATTGCTTATTAATTAAATTCTGGTAAATGTTGTCTATGAAAAATAATGCCAAAATAAGAATTCCTATATTTTAATAAATATTCATTAAGAAATATATTTAACAATCATAAAAAAAAAGCATTTGAACTTGAATGAATACATTTATTAAAAGCAAAGTGAATTTAACGCAATATGAATGTTTTCCAAGTTAAAATTAAGGATATAATCAAAAAATTTAAAAACAACTATGAGGCGCAAAAAATAATTTATAAAAATTATCACTTGACTTATCATTTTCTAAAACAGATAATTTTAGAATAGAACTTCCACATACAATCTCATGGAAGATCAAACGACAAATTGCAATTTCACTTTGAGATTTCAAAACTGGCACTGTAATTTGCCATCAGTTGTAAAAATGTTTAAAAACAGCAGAAATAATACAAAACAAAACAAACGAAGAAAAAAATTGTGGGATAAATGGAATTTTCAAATAATAAAAGAGAAGTTAATCATAACTATTAGTTTCAAATTATGTACAACAACTATTAAATAACAAAACAGTAAGCCGAATTGAAAAATAGAAAATAAATTAATCTTTCTCGAAAGTAGTCTTCCAAGCAATAACTTGCTTATCAAATCCACAAGTAAACAGATCATAATTCGAATTATCATCCGCCCAAGCAGTGCAACAAACTATACGGCGATGGCTCTGAAAATTAACAAGGAATAAATATAAACAATAATAAGCAAAATTATATTCATAAGAAAGTTATCACCTGAATAATTCACAAGAGAGCAATTAGTGCGACGATTACACAAGTTTACAGCTGAAGGAAAACAGACAAGAAAATAAAACTGATTTTTTTCTCTACTATCATCCTTATTCCACATTAAAGTCTTAATGTGGAATTCTTTCCCCTTGTATTATGTTAAATGGTTGAACTCAATTTGATTGTTCTTTTCGTAAATATTCAATTTCAGAGATCATATTCCCTAAATTTTTCACTTCTTTCTTTAATGCATTTCTTCACATTGTGCTTCAAGTAAAAAATTTCGGTTGAGATAAAAGACAACTAGAAATAGCTGACTCTCATTCAGACACTCAAAAAGAAATTTCCCAATAAAACATATAAAATCATTGGTCAAATCTTGATAGCTTTTCATCATTCTTTTCGTAAAGATTTAATTTGAGTGATTACATCCCTAAATCTTTCATTTTCTCTTTTTAATGTGCTTGATACGTTCATAAAATTCCATATTTCATCAAAATAATCGAAAATAATTAAATGTAATAATGCTTTACTTGTCCACTAGCACGAGGAAGTCTTGTTAATCGAACGGTGTTCAAATCATATAATCGAATATTGCGATTATCCTGTGGAATAGCAACAACATTTCGTGATGAAACTGAAAGTCGATTAACGGCGCTATCCAAACGAACGGTTACAATTGCACTACGCATATTGCGCAAATCCCAGACCTACAATGTTTGAATTTTAATTGAGTCATGGAATTCCATATAAAATTTAGATTTTTTCTAAATAGAATTTTCTAATTTTTAGATAAATGGACTGAGAATCGGATTCAAAGTTTAAATTAAGTTTCTCAGAAAATACTTTTTGTAAGAATAATTAACCTTGATTGATCGGTCATCACTACCCGAAACAAGTTTTTCACCGCAAGAAAAAACAACCGACGTGACTGAGCTGCAAAAACTAATTGTATTAATTTCAAAAAGAATCATTATTTCTCATTATTTCATACAAAATTTAAGAACACCAAGTAATAACCACCATACTCAATGTGTCCTTGAAAAACCGCAACAGATTGAATTGATTCCCGGAAATCCCAAAGGCGAAAAGTAGAATCACGGCTTGCAGTAACAATAAGTTTTTGCGATGGATGAGCATTACAGTGATTCAACTCGTCATCATGGCCTATAAAATACATGATACTTTTTCCCATAACCCTGTTTCTCGTTTAATTGAAATCTGAATTATTCATTACTCATTTTTATATACTTACTTCTATCAATTTGTACTTTCATCTCCGCAACAACTGCATAAAACTTTTCTAAAAAGAGTAGAATTTTTGCATAATTAAATAGAAAAAAAACCGTACCCGACAAAATATTTACAATCTCTCCTCGTTCAGCATCATAAATGTTAGCGGTTCTATCCCAGCTAGCTGTGATAAGCTGCTCACCACTGCTGAACCACTCAACAGCCATTACGGCATTAGCATGACCTGTCAAGCGTACGAGTGGTTGCCGTACAATACATGATGCATGAACCTCTCCACCACCTGAACATATGAGGAAATAAATTAATAAATGATAAAAATGAAATACCATTAATCTAATAAAAGAACATTCACCTTGAATATCATTCCCTCCACTCGTTTGTTCTTTTTCAGCTAGTTCATCATCTTCACTGCTTAAAGCAGGAAGCTGGGTATTGCCTAAATTTTTTATTTTATAGAAAAAGAAAAGTTCATATTATTGAAGATCATAGGTTGAAAAAGGAGCACAAAAAAAAAAAAAACTGGCAACTACAACAAACAAAATGGAATGTTAATAAATATTAAATTAGATAGAGCTATAATTTTCGAATATCCTGATTTACTTTATATCTTTTCTAGGCAAGTGAAATGTAGAATTGAATGAGCAAGAGCAAACTGAGCCATGAGCATGCCTGTAGATTCCTTTAAAAGAAGAAACAAACCAAACTTCACTACTAACCAACCTGGAATAATGGCTTTCCAAATATGTGCAGTACGATCGCCACTAGCTGTAGCAAGCATGAATTCATTAGAATCTGTTGTCGACGGCCCGAAAGCAACACCATTAACCGAACCAACATGACCCGTATACTGTGCCAAACATGAACCTACATCCAAGGACCACAGCAAGCATGTCTGATCTATTAAATAGTTGTAATATATTATTTGAATAAAATTGCATTAAATTCTGAAAATCTGACTAGATTATTTGACAATTTTAACCTATACTACTATTTTAATAATAGTAGTGTATTATTATTAGTTATGCATATTTATTTGTTAGCTACGGAAATTGAATAAAAATTGATGGACCAGCAGAGGCGCTTGCCAAGATTGGCTGTGTTCCACGACTTGCCGTTACATGCCATATACCATCCCGATGTCCTAAAAACGAACGAACATATCTGCATCGACGTGAACTATCACTAACAACTTTCAGGCTCTGCACCAGACGTCCCGGTGGTACTCGTAAAGCAGTCTTCAACTTCTGGCGCATTTGGTTACCTATAATATGCAACATTATTATGAATAGTATCAAATAACTGATTTCTATGCAGCGCTTTCTGTAAATATAAATTCTATCACTGCAGATAAATGACAAATTAAGATAGCTTCAGCGATTAATGATTTAATTAGTTCATTATTAATGCTGTTGAAACTATAACCAATCAGCTCATAAGCTTCCTCTTCTCAAAACACAAATTCTATTCAGTATTTGACACAGTAAGCATTCGACAATACGGTTAAAAACAAAAAATAAACAAAAAATTGAAAATTCCAATCCTATTTTGCTTTTATGCCATCATTTATGTTTGGATCGTAGTCACCGCGCAAAAATATGCTACTTTAAATAACTACCTGCGCTACTGGCATTTCTGAATTGTGCTACCAGTAGTCAAGAAACGCAGCCTTATAATTTATTAAAAAATTATAAAAAAGAACCATAAAAAGGAAATATAAAACTAAAGAGAGTTATTCTTCAAAGAAAGTCGACAGTGAACAGAACAACCTTTTCTGCCAGTTTCTTTTCGTGCTGATAACGGGTCATTCGATGAACAACATATTTCAGGTGATATCGTTACCGTTTCACCCAGCCGTTCACTTAATTGGTTCAACTTTGCTTGCACTACAAATATTTATACCTTACAAGCTTTTTTTCTTTTGTACACTTCAATAGTCATCCATTTTTGAATTGACAATTTCTGCATTACTTTTTCAGTAGAACTTCACTTTTTAGATTTAAAAAATAATTTTTATTAGATCCTAAGGAATTAAAGATCATTTCCCACTTACTTTCTATGAAATCATCACTTAAACTGCTGCTTGCCATTGTGAAGTTTTAAAAGCAGTCAGCAAATTGGAAATTGTAAAAAAAAAAATATGCCAGATTAATATTGAATTTATCAATTACCGATAACTATAATAACCAGCCGAAGATTTGGACTTGGCAGATAATTTTATAATTTTATAGAAGAAAACATATAACGACATCGCAAATGTCACGTCAAACATATAAAGTAGAAGAACAGCTTTCAACAATATTTTGATGTTCACTTAGCTATTTTCATAACAACTTTTTATTTGATCCTAAGTAGTTGGAAATTAATTTCTACTTACCTTTTATGAAAATATTGCTAATTTTTTTTTAAAGACAAGCATTTATTCCTAAAACAAAAATAATAAAAATCTTACATTCACAATTCTCCTCGTATAAAGAATCAATTTCCTTTTCAACATACTCAAACAGCTGGTATAACCGCGCTCTGAAATATTTAATAAATGCAAAAGAAAAAAAATCCATATAAAACCATTTACAAGATTTCATTAATTTGTACCGAAGAGCTATATACGAGAAACACGCCAATGCTACATCACCCTTTCATTTCTTTATTGGTCCTTACAGATATAACACAAGAAAGTCTACGTGATATAAGAAAAATTATTTGATCCGCATAATATTTTCATCCCTATTTAACATCTAAAAAATATCGTCGAATTTCGACTAATTTCAAATAATTCTATTTCAGTTAAAATGTGAAACGATTAATTTCGCATGATTCTAATTCTGATCAGCATATAAAATGATTATTTTTGAACTATTTTAGTAAATTTTTATAAAAATTTTAATAAAATTTTAAAATAAAACTTGACTTAAACAATAAAATACATTGAAAATCATACTTATGTGGTAATGCTATTTGTTCCATATCACAGTACTGCTGTTGTTGTTGTTGCTGAGCAGTTGAAGATCCTTGTTGTACATCACCGTCTACCCAAACACGAAGCTTCTCAAATCTTCCAGACATATACTAGATATACAAACAAAATCCTGGAATTGACGAATTTCGATAAAAGCCTACTCCTTGCTACCTACCTATATCATACTCTCTTCAAATTGCCCAGCTATATGCATAAGAATTGTCCATTTACATGCAATGCAATAATCTAATTATATATCTTGAAAAACGAGATATGACACTTTTAAATTGAATTACAGATCAATAAAGAAAGAATTGACAACAACAAAAATTATATTTCAAACAAGTAAGAAATAAAAAGGGAACAGCAGAGAAAAAAAACTAACGAACAGAAATATGAAGTGTATAATTTGAACAAAAAAATTTGGCATTAGAGATTGAAGAAATTGAGTAAGTTAAAAAAATTTAAAGCTGAAGAAAATTTAATACAAATATTAGAACTGAACAGTAAAAGAAGCTTAAATAAAACTGAACAATGAAAAAAGCTCAAACGAAAAGGCCATAGGTCTTTTTTTGCAAATCTTTTTGAACAACACCAATCGGAAATAATGTTTTCATTTAGATCTCTCCAGTATACCGTATTAAATTCTCAAAGTGTAAATAGAGCTGAAGGATTGAGTAGGATGTAAGGGCTGGTGGAGTGCTTGGCTAAATTTGTGGACTTGGTTAGGCTTTGTTTGTTGTACTTTCTGTTGTATATGGATTTACTTTGCACCATATAACGAGGATTTCATTGAATAATAGCTTAAATCTCATTGAATAATAATGCGTTCAAGATATTTGATAAACATTTCGGTATTTTCTCATGTAATTTAGATTTTTGTTGATATTGAATGGATTGGATTAAGTTATATATTATGTTTTGGTCTTTGGAAACACATTAATTTGGCTACTCTTTCATTATCTAAATCATATGATACATTTAAATTTGTTGAAATATTAAAAATAGATATTGCAGTACAACTGAATCTTCAGCTATTTATTTTATACTGAGGCGTGTAATTTCAGTAAATTATACGGCAATATATGAAAGTAAAATATATATTTTTTAGGAATTACAAATGATAAAAATATAAATGCTGAATATTTTATAAGGAGAGCGATCACATTTAATACGGTGAAATGATCCGCACGAAACTGTTATCGCGCTACAGTACCTTAGCTGTACGTGCCCTAGTGACAGCTGGTGCGACTGAACGCTGTTTTACTTCTGGTCGATGTTTTCATAATCATTGCGCTACTGATATACCTGTTGCTTCGGTTCATCATCATCAAAATGTGAAAGACGTACATGCATCATGTTGTGGTTTCCCAAAGCATCTCAAAAATGGACCCTCGACAGTGCTTGATCAAGGTGTCTTTGGTGATGATGCATGCTTCATTGCACGTTTCGAAAATACATATGTGGTTGGTAGGTGCTTTTCCGTTTTTTACTCTTCATTTTCCCTATAGTCAGAGAGCAAATTGCACAAAGCGTACAACGCTGTACATTCATATAAATCATGAAAGGCACTAAATGGAAATTTAACTAATGTTAAGCAATTATTAAGTTTCAGTTCCAAAAAAATTACTTTGGTTACAAGTTCATTACTTTTTTCTTGTTAACAGTTTGCAGTAAAATTAGGTTAGAAAAGCCCAACCGCACGGTTGATTGAACCAACCCGTTCAGCAATTAGCAAGCTGTGTAACAGCTGACAGATATATAATACAAATCATGATACGAAGTGTTCAGTGTTTATTGTCAGCGAAGAACCTAATGAGATGCAATAATTTGAATATATTGAAGTACTGCATTTTGTATTAAATGTATAGTTTTAGATTCTAGTGAAGAAGTATGGGTAATTTATAAAGAATACACAGTATTTCTTTAAAGGTGTGGCAGATGGTGTAGGTGGTTGGCGCAATTATGGCATCGACCCATCGGAATTTTCCAGTCGCTTGATGAAGCTGTGTCAAAAAATTGTAATGAAAGGTATTGTCTTACGTAAACAAAGAGCAAAATTTCCGTGTGGATATCACCTGAATTTTAATATAACTGCACAACAGTGATGCAAAATTTAATACTGCTGTTTAAAAATGAAGCGTCGTAATGATTTTTCGATTTCAGGCCAGTTTAAGCCAACTCGACCGGATAAGCTACTAGCTCGTGCATACGAAGCACTTGCAAAACCACCACGTCCAACCGGCTCATCTACAGCTTGTGTACTTATTGTTCATCAGGATACGCTATATTCTGCTAATCTGGGTGATTCGGGTTATCTTGTTATCCGGAATGGCGAGATAGTATATCGTAGTCGTGAACAGACTCATTATTTTAACGCGCCGTATCAACTGTCATTACCTCCAACGGATGATGGTGAAATTTATCGTAATGTTTTTTATTTTAAATTCCAGCTTATTTTTATAATTGTAAGTGGTATTTTATGAAATCTACAGCAGTAATTATTTGGTTTCAGAAATCTTAATATGTTTGTAAGTTCTGGTATGGAAGATTTTTAATGTTTTCAAAAAATTTTGTAGGAAACGGTAGTTTCCTTGGCGATTCTCCAGAGAAAGCTGAATCGGCATCATTGGATTTGATGAGCGGTGATATTATTGTGCTTGCAACCGATGGTTTGTGGGATAATGTGACAGAAGATGAAATCGTTAAGCAGTTATCAGGTCTCAAACCAGGTGATGTGCAGGTAGATCTAGTTTCAATGTGTCCTTGCTTGAAAATTTAAAAAATGTGCTTTATTGCTTCAAATGAGGCAGATAATGGCTTGGAGTAGTGAAGAATAGAAATTAATAATGAGGAAATATGGCAACAAATGAAAGGACAAGGAATGAATAAGAGAACAGCAAAGGATGAAAATAATTCTATAACAATAGAATAAGGATTTAAGTTTTGGATCCTTGAGCAGTTCTTTAAAACATATAAAAACTGCATTAGAAACTCTTAAAAGTCGAGATATTAAATCGTCCTAGCACTTTTGATTGGTAATATTAAATGCCTTAAAATTTAAACACAGATTTTGGCACCAGTACTGTGTCAGAAATGTGGTTTTAAATTTCCTTGTTTTGAATTTATTTATTTTTAGAAAGCTTGCAACAGTTTAGCACTTACTGCAAGAAGGTTAGCGTTCGATACGCAGCATTTGTCTCCATTTGCAGTAAAAGCATCGCAGCACGGAATCGACGCACCAGGAGGCAAACCGGATGACATAACACTTATTTTGTTATTGATTGCTTGATCTGTTGTAGCGAAATATTGAAATGCTACGATTTTTTATTATGCTCATCTCATGTATGAATAAGCTCATTGACTATTTCTGGCAGGTTTTGCGTTAGTATTTATATTATTATGGTAATAAATTAATAAGTTGTCTTCATTTAACAGAGCACATCTTGTAGTTGCTCAGTGGTGTAGCTTTTCCCTCTAATGAATCTTAAGACGGCGGTAAGCAAATTATTTTAATTAGCTGATTCGTCCCTCTTGCATAGATTAGCTAATGTTCTTTCAGTTCTGGATAGTTAAGCTTCACTAACTTACAAATGTTATAGTTTTTTCAGAAACTATTTTTTATTTGATCGCTAGATTAATCTTCCTTCTTTTTTCCTTTTTTTTATATGTTGCCATGATTTTACAAAGCTATGTCTTTTTTTTTTAATCTTTAATTGATTATTTGTGTAATGTGTTGTTGTATGATTTGCAAACAGCATTAGGGATTTCATTCTCCTGTTTATTCATTTAAATTTCATTTCGGGATAAATTTAATTAGAAAGTATTGGTATATTAGAAATTTTTTTATGAATTCAGTCGTCTTTGTTAACAACTCAGAGATTCACTACATCTTGTTAGAATAAACTTTGATTCATCGTTATCAGTTTAATCAATCCTACAGCAACAAAAGTTTTAGATTCTTTAAGTAGCAATCATTTGTTTTTCATTACAGTTTCTTTGTAAGGTTGCAATTGTCATGTGTACTTCAACGAAGTTCATTATCGGACACGTGTATCAATCATACGTTCCTTTTTTCCTCATACAGATACGTTTTTTTTTTTTTTTTGATTTAAAGACATTTTGCTGTGTATTTTAACTCGTTCCTTTTTTTAATTTTTTGAATAGATTTTTCATTGTTTACCTACTGTTTTGTGTATGTGATCATGTTACTGTGTTTGTATATGTAAGGGAGACAGTAGAAGGAAAAGAAAATTTGCCAAAGAATTATTTTATCGAATGCTAACATGAGTAAAAATGCTTTCAGAAATAAACTTTAACTTTGTTGTGATTTTATGTATTTTATTTTGCTGTTCTACTACGGTATTGTTTTTACATTCTTTTAATGAAAGTTCCGGCATGTTTGGTGTAAAACTGCGAAAGCTGATGTAAGAGTGAAATATGATGGACAACAAAGATTTTATAAGGGAATAATGTGTTTTTCTATGAGTTTTATAAAATCGTACATTTCTTCTTAAGTATTAGTATTTGATTTTTATTAGGCAATATAAGTATCGATTTATCTATCATTTTTTTTTTTTGATTTACTTTTTCAAATATCGTACTTTATCTGTAGGTTAGGAATGTGTAAGATTAATGTTGGATAATATTTGAGGATGCATTTTCGATGTAAATCTATGAAGTTGTTTTAATACTTACTACTTATTACTGAATATTCCACATAGCATTGCCAAACTTACTCCTTTATCTAACTTGGACACTATTCCCTTGCAGATATGCGTTCATGGTTTTGCTTGGCATATCACTCTGGGAACATTCTCAGTAAACTTCCATTTCCAGCAAACTGTTCGCAAATTCGCACAACATACAGTAAGTAAATGAATGGGTTCTTTTAAAAATTAATCCATTTTTTTTTTTTTTTTTTTTTTTTGAGTATTAGAATTTAATTTTTTTCAAGAAATATAAATTGCAATATCGATTTATTATCAGATGTTTAAAGTTTACCATATCTCAGAATTCTAGTGTAAGTTCTCTTTTTTTTTCTTTCTGATATATATAATAACCATTGATTTCGGTAAAGATATATAATGAAAAACTCATCAGGAGTTTAATGCAATGTGTTAATATCATTAAAAATTGACAGATCATAAAACCTTAAATGTTTGCTAAGAAATTATTTCAAATTGACTAGATTGCAGAGTATGTTGCTGAATCAGCGAAATCCGACGGAACACTGCTGGGTGATTTCCGCAAAGCAATGCATTATATGTTCATGACAGAGCTTATAAGAGGTATGCATAGGGTAAAATTGAATTAAATGTGGAATTATTTCATAATCTCATGAAGTTATTTTGCCCAATATTTACTGCTGTTATGCCCGTGAAATCCAATTCTGGAGTATTTCATTGTTCTTTCTTATAATCGATCTTTTCATGGTATACTTTTCAGGTATGGGTATAATTGTTGGTCATTACTTTATGGAGCCTGCAACAATAAATTATCCATTCGAGAAAGGTCCTTTGAGCTCGCGTTTTCGTGGTGAGCATGCACTTCGGAGGTATCCATCCGGTGAAGAACGCTGCATAGCCTGCAAACTATGCGAAGCAATATGTCCGGCACAAGTATATAGTATTTCTTCTTAATTGTATAGTATTGAGAGTTGTATTTGTCTCATCCCTTTTTCTTCTCTACGGAAGTTTTCGAATCATTGACGGGGTTCCAGAAGCATTTTGAATCACCGATACTATAGTGGATGCTGAATTGATAATTTCACTAATAAAATTTTAGACTTCTTTTTTTGAGCAGTGTCTCATGTTACTTTCTAATTGCTGGAAATAAATCATTTTTTTCACTGACGCTGATTTTTTTTTTTTTTTTTTTTTTGAGCGATAATTTATTCAACAATTTTTAAAATCATTTCTTTCCTGGTTCCAGGCAATAACGATTGAGGCTGAAGCAAGGCCCGATGGAAGTCGGCGAACTACTCGTTATGATATTGACATGACAAAATGTATTTATTGTGGTTTATGTCAGGAGGCTTGTCCAGTTGATGCCATTGTTGAGGTATTCTATTTCTTATTTTTTTTCTTTTCATATAATGATTTTTTCTTTCGTGTTTCATATATATATATATGCTATCATCACATCCATACTTGTTTAATATCATGGCTATACTAATGTTTACTCATAACTGTGTTTATTTTTTGTATGTTACGTTCAGATTGTTTTTCTAGGGTCCGAATTTTGAATACTCAACGGAGACTCATGAAGAGCTGCTATATAACAAAGAAAAACTTTTGTTGAATGGTGATCGATGGGAGCCAGAATTAGCTGCAAACTTACAAGCTGAATATCTTTATCGTTAGGTTAAGCAAATTTTACCGGCTGATTGTTGTACTATTCTTCATTAAGAAATTAGTTTTAAAAGACTATTTGATCGACCTACTAAATGAACCAGAAAACAATTCTAATAATATATTTTGATTCGTTTCAAAATACTGAATATGCTGCAGTTGTTGTGAATGTAAGAAGTCATGCAGTATCTATTTCCGACTTCAACTTCAAAAATGTGGATAAGTTGGTTGATAAAATAGTGATTAAACGATTATGTAAGTGTAATAATGGAAGTTAATTACATAGAAAATGTTTGTGCGGCTCTGATTCTCTTTGTTTTCATGCTAAGATTATCTGAATAGGCCATATTTATTTCTGGTTCATGCTTACATCGTTCTTGCAATTAAGGATTATTTGTATAATGTATGCTTTGTACACAGTGTAGTATTGATAACAGTAAAGGTTTTGTACAAAAGTTAATTCTGAATTTTAATCTTTTTTGTTTCCTGCAGTTCAATATTTGGTAGATCGAAGGTTCCTTGCAGTAGAAACTCTTGTATTAAATATAAATTGAAGAGAATGATATAGCAATTTTCATTGGAAATTTTTTGTGAAAGGTATTTGCGGCATGTTTTATATGCATATTTTATATTCATTTAAGCTCTAAGGGAGATATAATGCTCAAACTAATTGGATAACTTCATAAAGCATTAGACAATTATAAATTAATTTAATCTTACTCGCCATTTCGAATGTTCTTTTCCAAAATTCGGATTTGAAGAGGAATATGTAAAAAAATTATGATTGATCCAGAAAACATTAACGAATCAGAATTAATTGCTTCTTCATCCTCGGCCGTCTTCCACAAAAGATTGAACTGTTTGTGCACTAATATTACTCGTAACTGCTGCATCTTCATTGCTGCAACTTTTTGTTTTCATTTTTTCATAAACTAAATTTAATCGGCGGTTATTAACAAAATGTTTGTTTGTGGTTGGTAACGTTAGGGATTTTGTCATTTTTGCTTTGTTTTTGCAGCTATAAACATTGCAAAATGAATGTACTCTCGAATTATAGTCAGTTCTAAATAGACATTGATTTTATGTTTCAGCTTATAATATTTAAAAAAATTTTTTTCATTAAAAAAAAAGGACCTTGGAGATAAATCAACAAATTCACTCCGACTAGTTGAAACAGAATTTGATTGAGCAGTAGTAACAGCTTCCTGATTATTCATTTCCCTAATAGTACTAAACACATCTTGATACCATTCAGCCTAAATAAGTTATCACTTTTTCTTGTTTTTTTTGGTCCATTCACTAATTTTAGTAAATTTCTTAAATTATGATTCAGTTAATAGTTTTTAGTATTCAATACAGTAATTTCTCCTAATAACAATTTTTTTTTTTTTGAAAATAAAAACTTTACTAACCGGAATATCTAATCTCGAGAAATTATGAACATGATCGTATGGTGGTAACCATAATGTATGACTAAGTAGTTCATTACGATCACACATCCATGATTGTTCAAAAATTACATCATCAAGACGACAGAGATAAACCTCAATAATAATCAATCATTTCTGATTGTTTCATTTTCCACTACACAATATTACTCTTTTTTTATCAAATTTAATACTTATTATAAATGTTCAATTTAACTTACTTTTGTAGTAAATTTTTTTCTCTCTCTAAATCATGTTTTAATTAGATTGAAATGAATTAAAGAAAGATTGAAAGAGCAGCATCATTTTCATGATTATTTTCACAAGTTAATAACAAATTATTCATTAACCTTATATGGTAATTTTTCAAAATCTCTTGACCATGTCATTTGATCAAGTTCAGTGGTACGAAATATTATTAATTCTTCCAATGTTTTTGGCATTGTACTCAAAAATTGAGCAATATTTGATGCGCTATAGTAATGCACATAAACGGAGATCTTTTTTAGGTTTAATGTTTTTAAAATAAACATTTTTTGTGGTAATGCGCGATGACAGCACGAGAATAATGATGGTGGAATATCGAGTATTTTTAGATGAATTAATGTTCCTAAATTAATAATTTTATCATTATATCACTAATAATACTATCATGTCTTGGATAGATTTCAAAGAGATGTATAAAATTTAAAAATAGCCTATTGTTTAAGCTTTTAGATTTTTCTAAGTAAGCTTTACATCAAAACATTATTAATATTAAAATTCTCTCTATGCATTTTTTTTGTGCTGTAATGATTGAAATACAAATATCTATCAAAATGATATCAATAAAATCATTTTTCATTTATTATCTCTAACAATTTATAACAAATATTTGTTATAAAAAAAAAAGAAAAAAAAAAGTTAAAAGAAACGGAAAGATATTATTAGTGCATTGGAATATTTTAAATTTTGTTAGATTATTAAAACTCTTAGATGAAATTATAAAACATACCAATTGATGTGATATACTGATCAAAATCTGGTGGATTACACAATGCACCACAAATAAGTAACTCACTGAGAGTTTCTTTCAATGCATTACATAATTCATTGAAAATGTTTGGTTTTAATACAATGCCACTAAGTTGTATGGAAACTAATGGCGCAGTAATAATTCGCATTAATTGACTTTGTTGTAGTATATTTTGTATGGTTTTTAATTCATCATAACGTTGTAATATGCATAATTTGCGAAGTTTTTTCATGCATAATGTATTAAGGCATGAGAAACTCAATGAACTGCAAATTTCTTTTTTCTTTAAAGATTTGTTCAAAATAAAATTATTTTTTAATATTTTATTTACATCTAAATGTACTCTTCTTTCATTGTTTCATCTTAGTACTCAAAAAATAATTCGTATAATTTGCTGAAAATTAATAATAATAATAAAATAGCAAGAGTAATGGCAATAATAATAATAATAATAATAATAATAATAATAATAATAATAATAATAATAATAATAATAATAATAATAATAATAATAATAATAATAATAATAATAATAATAATAATAATAATAATAATAATGATAATGATAATACTAATAATAATAGTAATAATAATAAATAATGTGTTATATTATTAATGCTAGCATGTTACTATTAATCAAATTGCAAATCTATCATATACTAACACACATATTTTTCACTGTTACTCATCAAAACTTTGAATAAACTTGTTAGGAAAAGTAAAATATCTTAACTATTGTCAATGAGTTTGTTCTATATCTATTGATTTGTGATAAATGATTAATCAAATTGATAACAAATCTAAAATTATCATGTGTTGTTATCACTTTATCCCTGTATCTACAACAGGGAGTGAAAAAGAAGAAAAAAAAAGAATCTTACTTAACTTACTTAAATGCAGAACTTGCTATAGTAAGAACACTGAGGTGTTCTACTTTAGATAATTGTTTCAAATAATTCTCATCCCGTATTGCTTGAATATTGATATTATTCAAATTTGGACAATGTTGAAGGACTAACTATAAATTTAGAAACTTTAATTCTTAATTAATATGAATGTGATGAGCATTACTGGTTAATTAATTAATTTAAGTTTGGAGTTAAATTGAAAGAAGCATTCCCATTCAGATAATTATTAGTCAAATGGACAAAAACTTTTAAATTTCTTTTCATATTTGTCAAATAATCATTAAACTGTCTTGATAAATGTTAACTGCATTTACCTTTAGATCACATTTTGTTATACATTTAAAATTGTCACCAGCAATACACAAATTATCTTGCTTAATGGAAAGCATTGTAATATCAATCCATGTAGAAAACAATGAACCTGGACAAGTATTTTAACAAATTCTTGAGTCATTTAAAAAATGTCATTAAAAAGGAAGGATTAATTATTGTATTACCACTCCGTGTAATTATGCAGTCCTTTTTTTAGAAAAGGAAACTAAAATTCCTCGTTGAATTTACTTCAGGAGAGTAATTCAATAAAATAAAGACTTCGATGCCACTTACTAAGCCGTTTATTTACAGAAGCGATGTTAGCCCTCGCCGTGACATCCAAATAGCTGAAGATGACATTCCACATATCGTCCGACAACTCCATTAAGCTCAACAATAATTAGCATCTATCTCATTCTGCCTCTTTTAAAAATTGCAGTTTTTTTTCGATAATTTGCATATTTGTTTTGTCTTTGTCCAATACGAAAATTTTTCAAAATTTTATAAAAGATCCGCTGAACATTTCTTTATTGTATTTATAGAGTGCAAGATGATTTATCAATTTCTATTACCTGATAAGCTCAAAGAAAAAAATACACGAATAATATATAAATTTAATAAAATCATAAATATTTTGCAGAAAGTTCAGAGTCTATATAAAATAATAACAATAATAATTCTGAATATATACAAACCAATTAAAATACAAAAAAAAAAAAAAAGAAAAATCAATAAGATATCGCCTCACGGTGCCTGAACGCATATAAATGAGATAAAATTTCTTCTAACAGATGCTCAAATGATGGAATTCATTTATATTTGCATAAAAACTATATGTGTGTAGCGCAAAAAAAAAAAAAAAAAAAAAAAAAAAAATGGAAGTATTAGCTAAATGAATAATGGCACAGTTGAAAAGTAAGAAAAGCATAATGCCCTGTTTAATTACATACGTCTGGCAAAATTTGAAGTGCAAAAATAAATTTTTTTCTTTTTTTAAGTAAACATTCAACACATTTTTCGAATGTATTAAATCTTCGAAAGGTGAAAATCCATGAAGGTAGAAATCACCAATTTCTTTCATTTTTTAAAAATTTTCAGTTTTAACTTTTTCCAAAAAGATTAATCTTTTTACTTAGTTGGCTTGCGAAGCTGTGTTCTATATCAACAGAACCTACGGATTAAAAGAAAAAGAAACCTGCTCGAAATAATTTAATAACATAAAAGCATCATAGTCTGAGCGATGAAGTAATTTTTTTGAAAAGGACATTAACAATTATGAAAAATCTAAAATAATCTGAGCGATTAAATAATTCAATAATATTTAGATTATGGAAGAAAGTTAGCAGGCAA